AGTTCGGCTGGCCAGTCACCACCGTGTGGGCAGTTCGGGTCGTTTGTTGATCACCATAAGTTTTGCTACATTAAACTACTTGTGAGTAGTGTAAAACATACTGACACTTTTTGTGCATGTCTTGGAAATTAATTCATCACATCCCAGCAACGACTTGATTGCTTACTTAGTGATCATGAATAAACGGTAGAGTGAAGCATAGAAATAGCCATAGATCTCGACTGGCATGAAAAAAATCGTTCCCCGCGACCCAAGGCGCGTTTGTTTAGAATCAGGGAACAGCGTGTTCGGCTGTCTTCCTTCAATCCTCAGACAAGAAGTGTCTGGACGGCGCCTTGAAAACCGTTTAAATTACTACAGCAAGCAAGTAAGCGGAGTTCAGCCATTGCCAGAAGACCCACCTCTTGGTTAGTGAGCCCGATTGCGCTAAGAGGAGTCCGACGAGGCGGATTCGAACCACCGACCTAAGGATCACTGCCACATCTACAGTCCTCCGCTCTACCAACTGAGCTATCGTCGGATAGGTGAGAGTTGAAAATTTAGTAATATAAAGAAATGCATGGAGTTTTCATAAGGTGATTTCATAAGTTAGTGTTGTATGAATATTAGTGTAATGACAGTAGAAAGAAGAAATACGGCGGTCTCTTCCATGTTTTGAAAAAGTTGATGGTAATGACACTCCATGGTGAGACAAAACTGTGACTAGCCACACGCTCAACATTGGTAGGGTGCAACTATGCCAGATTGTCACATACAAAATATCTGTTTTTCCTTCCGATTGTGCTGCTTTGAAATGGGTACAGGGGGGTTTCTGTAGCCCATGGGGTCAGCGTATTCATGTAATCGATTTCCACTGGTTACATTAATGGCCGTAACTGCTCTGCTGCCTTTCCGCTGAGTAAGTTAGTTGGGAACCGGTGCATAATGGCTTCGTTTGCAGTACCGATTGTCTTCCAGCCATTTTGGATGTGTTAGGGCACCCTGGTTCACACGTGAGCAGACTACCGATCATTTGAAAACGATCCACACTTAAAACAATTTTCAAAATTCGCATGGCGTACGCTTCCGTGTATATGGCAAAGACACATTTGAAGTTCACAACTCCCAGGGATCGTTCGTCTTAACGATTCCTGGAGAATTGTTCATCTTCTTAGTGGTCACCACAAGCCACGAGGGTTATCGAACCACACAAACAAAATTCAGAGCGATATGACAAACAAAAGATCCTCATGGGCTGTCTTCCTGCAGCCTCAAAAACTTTACCCTAGAGTTTGGTTGCAGTACCTGAAGTAAAGGAGGATCCGGGCTGAATCAGTCAGTGTGTTTGAATGGGATGCTATCGTAACCGCGCGCTCCAGCTATGCCGGCCTTGCACTACATCTCAGTACAGTTTGATTCGGTTTATCCACAGAACAAAACAGAGTAGAGTCATTTTAAAATCACCATACTGTAAGAGGTTTTTGTATTAATCGGGAAGATAGCGCATATTTGTTGTCAGGGCATTTGAAAAGCGTTGGTACAAAAGTTGAAGGACCATGACTACGAGGAGCTAGCTATATCATTTTCGGGCTTTTTGTTGTTTTTTTGTTTTAACTGACTACTGTCCCTGCTCCAGTGCCTTAGTTTAGGAAAAAGGCCCACCAACAAGGGACACAACAGCCTTGTTGCAGCTGCAAACTTTGCCAGGAGCGATCCGGTGATGAAAGCCCGCCTTTGACCTTGATCCGGGCCGTTTGATTGGCGTTAGGCGAACACCCAATCATCGTCTGACGTTGCTGAATTGATTTACTGCTTGATTGTCCACTAGCCTTTCTGGCACAGATGCTGGGTGGCTTCCCTATTACTGGGGTTTGAAGGTCTAAGTAGGCTTCTGGCGTTCCTGAATTATTTTCAGGAATCTGACCTTCCTTTAAATCTGGGGTCTTGATCGTGGGGTCAAGCTACCAATGTGATTGGTTGGAGAGAAAATCGGCGTAGTGCGGTGCGTGCACACCATGTGAGCACGTCGGGTATCGTTTGGTGTTTAAATTAGGAGTCCGTCGCCTGAAGACTGGAACTTGCCGCGGTGTGACGGTTTGTACGCCAACGTGACCAGTCGAGGTATACTGAGGAGTGTGACACTCTCAGAGTCCCTCATACAGGGTTGGTCAATGTTTAAAGGTCTGACGAGCAGTCTCCTAGTCCTCCAGATGCCCTAATTGATACCAAATTGTACGAGGACCATTATAAACGACAGATTGGGCTTGATTGAGTTCAGTCTCCCGTCAAAACCATATACGTGCAAAATTGGGAGTAGTGGACGAAACGACCAACAGGTTTGAGCTTCTGTGGCTGGAAGGTCCCGGATATGAGGTGGCTACAGGCAGTAAAAATCCACATCCACCTGAGCTATGCTCACTGTCGCGAAACAACATTAGGAACGATTCACTTGAGGTGTTCTCGTTTTGATAGCCAGCGAAACCGAACCCATAAGGCTGAAAATTCTTTTTATACCGGACTATGAAAGAAACTACTCACAAGGTTGCTGAATACTCTGTGACAACCCACGGCCAATTTTGTCCTTCTGTTTTGGAGCTCATCAGCCAGGCCCACTCTCCAAGTTTACATCAAATTTATGTTCTACTTGAGCATAAAATTGCACAAAATTAGCGATTTGGTCTCCACGGGAGACGAGTGAATCTCTCGTTTATGATGGCCCGCTTTAATTGAATGTGCTGCACAAAGGCCGCCTCATATTGCGGTTGGTACGATACTGGAGATATGGCAGTATATCCTCCTCATCTACACTACTCATAAGGTTGCTGAACATGCTTCGACAGCCCACGACCGGTGTCGCCCTTCTTGGGACTCATCAAGTCCCCGATTTTCCGTCAACCTCATGTTCTACTTGAACCCAAGTTTACCAAACCCATTCACTTGTACACCGGTTGCTTTTTTTATGGGAGACACCTGAATCCAAGCCGAATCTCATGTTCATCCTATTCTCCAACTAAATGGTAAACGACAGATTTTGTTTGGTACGCTCACTTACCTGGATTTTAGATCCAACGTGTGCAACCTGTAGATCAAGCACACCGCGGGAAGACAACACACTATCAGCAGGTTTGCCATCTTTCGGGCCTCCTGTAACCATGGCTATTCTGCGCGAGATGAAAGATCGACCGTCCGTTTGATCCGTTCAAATGAACTAGACAGGTCATGACGTGTGCCTGTTTGACGGCAAAGACTAGTCTCACACACGCAGTAGATGCGTAGGATATACTGGGTTCAGCACATGAGCATTGTCGGTCAGAAACGAGTCCATCACTGGTTTGCATATCTCATCAGCGTCCTTTTAAACTCTTCCACACCAGTCCTGTTCCACGCACTGCTTCCCGCGGGAAACGTCATTCACCAAGATCTAGAATCTCGGTGCTTTGCAGTTCGTCTTTTCCTTTTTTCTCCCCTTTTTTCCGGTTGATCTTTGGATGTGAGATCGAGAAAAAGCGGAGAAATTTGAATTTAAAATTCAAGAAAGGGAGAAACCTTGCAGTAGTGAGGGGGGCTAGTTTTTCCTCAGGTGCACCAGCAACATCATCGATTGTGAGACCAGCGATGAACAGCGGTTTTTTTATCGGCAGACTGGATCGGACTGTTCCTAATAGACGTGTGCCACGCTACCTGACTGGGAAGTCCTGACTGGCGGATCAATCGATCGTCACAACCAGGACAGTTACTGGGGCGTCGTTCGATGGGTCGGGCACACCAATCACATCTCTCAAGTGTGAACACATTCGCCTGTTTTGACGTGAAAATTCAACGTGCGTTGGTGGACTAGTGGTTACACGCTCGCCTCGCATGTCAGATGTCCGGGGCTCAAATCCCTGCGCGGCCATTGGATAGGCACTGCTGATGAGCTCTAATAAGAGCGAAACTCGAGTCCAGTGCTTCCCTTTGGTGTGGACTCACCGGAATAATCACACTAGAACAAGAACACGGCCGTTCAAACGAGAGTGGTGTGGCTATGAGCAAAAATACCTATCCCGCAAAACCCCAAAATTGCAACTAAGATCGATAAATCAACAGGAGGAAACTTGCAGACTGTAGCGAAATCGGTGCGATACTTGACGTCCAATGTGGGTGAGTGTGGTTCGGCTCACCGGCAAAGGCATTGTCCACCCATCTGACTTCTCCGTCACCAACATTTGGGTTCGGCAACCTGGGACAGTCGAGCAAAAAAGACGGGCGTGCGAAACGGGGTGGAAGTTTGCACATGTGTAGCTATGCGCGTCCCAACTGGTCTGATTACCCCTAAATGTACCCAAATGACCGGACGAGGGTAGCAACTATGTGAAATGTAAACTTCTAAGTTGTGCCAAAAGGTTTCTCGATTTAATTAAGGCTAATTCGGACTAAGGTTTAGATGTGGACCAAATGTGTGTTGCACGTGTCCTGACAGGTGTTAGTCCGACGGTAACTCTGTAGTGCCGTAAAGTTGAGCAACATGCATTTTGTGTGGCTTAGTTCTGGCACGAACGACCGCATCGTTGCACCAACTGGTGCAGCTATCCTCGTGGGGTTTTCATCCAAACAAATGACTGTTAATCTTTTCATTTTGCTCTCCTAACTCTAAAAAGTACACACTGGGTGCTCAAAGACTAGTAGGTACCTGAGGATGAGTTTCACCTTCGTGTACTAAGTCGAACCTATACCTGCAAAACACTTTTATGACAGTGTCAAGCCATACGGTCGGGATAGAGAATTTTAGTTTGATCGTATACCTCAGTTGATCTTTCCTGTGTGATTTCTAGCCTCATTTTTCAACCTTCCCCCTTTTTTTCTGTTTACAACGTAGCGAGAAACCTGACCGATCCATCTGCACTGTCAAGCTGGAAAGTAGGACCTTCGATTTTCCGAGCAGTTTGAGGTCGGACTAATACCGCTGCTGCACCGAGCCGATAGGTCTTCGAAGCTCCAATCGCCTTTCGGTCGCCTCGAACGCTGTCATTCTTGGCCATTTGTCAACGTAGACCTTTCAGTCCATCGGCTCTCTTCCAGATGAGCCCAGCCAAAAAATTAACCCCCGCCACCCAAAGAGATTCGATGGTTTGTGTGTGAGCTCCAGTCGTTGGGTCCACAACGGTATCATTAACCGTTTCATGAGTATAGTTCATTTCAATCATCGTTTCAGCTCCCTTTATGATGCCCACAAATCGGAGATGATGATTGAGCCGGGAGCGATGCAGGCCTGGATTGTGTCCATCAAAGTGGCCGCAGTTCGACCTGGCAATGCATACATGAGCACCTCTTTAGTTTCCCGCCAGATCCCTTCGAAAATTCACTGCTGGAAAGGGACTCGTCCTGCGTGGTTTTTACGGCGAGATATTAGCGTTTCATCGATCTCGACGTGCAGACCTGGGCCGCCGATAACTGTTGGAGTCTGCAAAAGCTGCCAGACGCAAACGTCGCGAAGAAATTTCTTCCAGTCAACAGGGGTCGTGTGGCTGGTAGATAATTTTTTTGAGCAGAATTTGATTTTTCCCAAACTTTTGGACCAGCAATAAATGAATAGAATTACTATCCTCAACTCCATCCTAGACCGGTCCAGCCAAGTTCCCTTTCGAAGACCGATTTCGTACCGACATTGTCGGGCATTACACCTCCACCTATCAGAAACAGTTGAAAGTGTTTGGTTGTTGGTCTGTTCGCCGAGTTTGCCAGTTGGATTGCAAACGTTTCATCACCAATCGAGGTGACACTCAACCCTGCACTGACGATGTAACCTTGATTGGTGATGAAACGTTTGCAATCCAACTGCCAAGCTCGGTGAACAGACCAACAACCAAACAGCGCACCCGAGCTACCTACATTCCACAACATTGCTAGTTGAAAGTGTCATCTGGTAGCCATAAACGTTGGCATAAACGTTGCTGATGGATCACTCCGTGGCTTTGCAAAAAACGTATTGCCGCGCCCTTGTCACGAACGAGAGTTGAAAGTTCATTTAAGGTTTTACGTCCGAACGGATAAACTTTTTGCACA